TCAGCTCTTTTTGTCACATGCCAGCTATCAGAACACCCTTAGGAAGATAGAAAATGGTTGTTGAGGCGCCTCACAACTTGTTCCTTTTCTCTTGAAATCTCATTGTCAGCTCTTTTTTATCACGTGGCAGCAATCTGAAGACCATTCGGAAGATAGGGGAGGGAAGCTTTGCGGAAGTTTTGAGACGTCTCAAAACCACACTTCAAACACTTGTTCCTTCCCCCTTGAAATCTCATTGTCGATTATTTTTTATCACGTGGCAGCAATCTGAAGACCATCCGGAAGATAGGGGAGGGAAGCTTTGCGGAAGCGTTTGCAGCAGAGGGAGCGGAGGGAGCGGAGGGAGGGGTGTGCCTCAAGATAGTGCCAGTGGGGGGGCGAGTGCTGGTCAACGATGAGCCGCAGAAGGTGAGAGTGGGTGCAGTGCGGTGAGAGGCGGTGATGTTGGGTGCAAGTGGGTGCAGTGGTAATGCATGTTGAGGAGGGAAAACGGGAATGCCTCAAGATATTGCCAGTGGGAGGGCGAGTGCTGGTCTTCTCATGCGCTGAATTGTACCCATCTCCATGCCGAATGTGCTGTTGTGGTGTGTCGTCTGTTGGTGGTGATGGATGCATACATGCGTGCAATGGCATGGGGCATGGCACGGCATGGCATGGCATGGCATGGCTGGGTATGGGCATGGGTATGGTATGGGCATTGGCATGGCACGATACAGAGCATTGGAGAGATGCTGGCGGAGGTGGAAGTTCAGATGGCCCTGCAGCAGCTGAGGCACGGTCACGGACATGGGCAGGGGCATAAACATGGAGCTGGCCATGCGCATGACCTGCTGCACTCTACTGCTTCCTTTATTGACTGTAAAGGGTACGTGCGTGACTGTAACGAGTATTTGTTTGTGTGGCTCTTGGGAGTCGACTCAAAAACAGCTAAAACAGGGTGCGTGCGCGTGCGCGTGTGCGTGTGCAGGGGGGTGTACTCGCCTGTTCTTGGACGAGAGTGAGTCCTAGACTCCGAAATCTTTAACCTTCTCCGAACTTTTCTCCTGCCACGTGTCCTTCCCTGTATATTAATGCATGTGGTGTTGGTTGAGCGAGCAGGGTGCGCGTATGCAGGGGGGTGTACTCGCCTGTGCTGGTGCGGGCATGGGAGGAGTGGGCGGATGAGAACGAGTCGCTCAACGACCACCCAGGCATCTTCCCCTCGGACCAGGTGATTAAGGATTGCTTGTAATCATGACACTCCATGCTTCGTAGCTTCCCCTCTGACCAGGTGATCATGACACTTCGTGCCTCCTAGGCTTTCGCAACAACCAGGTGGTTGCGGCACAATCCTTAATGTCTTAGTCGACCCTAAAACCTTTCCACCCACCATTCGTCTCTGTCCTCTCCCTCCCCTCTCCCCAACCTTGGCCTGGTCGACTCAACATAGCTCCTTAAACATTGGCTGGACGGAACAAGTCATTCATTCTGTACCATGCCCCGTCGTCCTGGCCAGGCATACATTGTCTTTATTCTGGAGATGGGCGGCAGCGACTTGGAGAAGGCCCAAGTACGCTCCTTTGATGAGGCTCGCAGCATCTTGCTGCAGGTGAGGCGGTGGAATGGAGGGACAGGTGGGGCAGGTGGGGCGGTGGAAGGCTCAGGCACAGGCTCAGGCTCAGGCTCAGGCAGGTGAGGTGGTGGACTGGAAGGGTGCTGTTCTAGGTTCAGCTACACTGCTCAACAGCGTAGTGTGTGCCTCCAGTTGGCATCAGCTGCAGGTGAGGCTCCCGCCGTTGAGCTCCTTTGATGAGGCGCCCAGCCTTTTGAGACGTCTCAAAAGTATGTGCCAGCAGCTCGCATCAGCTTCAGCAGGTAAGACTCTCACCGTTGAGCTCCTTTGATGAGGCGCCCAGCCAGCATCTTCCTGCGAATGAGTAAAATAGGGGATGGTGTGGCGGATGGGGCATGTGGGGCTGTCAAGAATCAATGATTCTGCTGATGATGCCCTTGTTCCTACTTTCCCCCCGTCCCCCATCATCCGTTTCCCTCCCCACAGCCATCACGTTGCCCTGCCCACCACTCTGCTGCACTACCCATGACTCTGCCGCACTGCCCCACTGCATCTGCCACCTCACTCCGCCCCTGTGCACCGCATCAACCCTACCACAGGTGGCAGCAGGGCTGGCGGTGGCAGAGGCAGCGTGCGATTTTGAGCACCGCGACCTGCACTGGTACGCTGTCGCTCATGTGGTATGGTGTGGCAGGTGGCACTGGTACGCTGTGGGAGGTGGCACTGGTACGCTGTGGGAGGTGGCACTGGTACGCTGTGGGAGGTGGCACTGGTACGCTGTGGGAGGTGGCACTGGTACGCTGTGGGAGGTGGCACTGGTACGCTGTGGGAGGTGGCACTGGTACGCTGTGGGAGGTGGCACTGGTACGCTGTGGGAGGTGGCACTGGTACGCTGTGGGAGGTGGCACTGGTACGTTGTGGTATGGTGTGGCACTGGTACGTTGTGGTATGGCAGTGGCACACTCGCCTGACCTCCCATGTAGTCCACCTCCTGTCCTCGTACATCACGTTCACACTATAGGTGGGCAAATATGTGAGCTTTGAATCGACTAAAAAAACCTGTGAAATTGCACTCTACATGCATAATGATCCTCGACGTCGTTCCTCTCACGCCCCCTCCCACCCTACCAGGGGCAACGTCCTCATTCATCGCGCACAGGCGAGCGGCAGGGGAGCCAATCAGAGGCGCGAGGGGGCAAAGGCCCTGCTTGACTGCACTGCCAGCATGAACAGCACTGGGAACAGTAATGCTAGCAGCAACGCAAATACTAACAACAGTGGTAGCGGCAAGGGAGAGGGAGGGAGCGGGCAGTGGTTCAGGCTGAATGGGCACCAGCGATGCTTCCATGACAAGGGCCTTCGTGTGGCCATCATCGACTTCTCCCTCTCCCGCCTCCAGTCAGGTGTGTTTCACCTATCGCACCCTCATTAGAAGAGCTCTTATGCTTTTGGGTTCACATGCATCCTCATCTGCAGCAGTCGTGCTTCCATGACAAGGGTTTTCGTGTGGCCATTATCAACTACTCCCTCTCCTGCCTCCAGTCACGTGCCACTCTCTCGCAACCTTATCAGATGTGCTTCTTTTCTCAGGTTCAGCTTCATCTACATACATAGTCTTGAGTGTCTTTCCTCACAAAAAAAAAAAGAAAAAAAGAAAGAAAAAAAAAAAAAAAAAACCTCAAGATTATTGAATTGCCTAAAATTATTTCCATTGCTCGCATGGACCCTAATTGGTGTGCTCGTGCTACAGGTGCTCGAGTGCACTTCAGCGACCTCTCTCAGGAGCCATCCATCTTCCAGGGCGATAAGGGCCACCCCCAGGTGAGTGCTGCTCCAGGTGAGTGCTGCTCCAGGTGAGTGCTGCTCCAGGTGAGTGCCGCCCAGGTGAGTGCCGCCCAGGTGAGTGCCGCCCAGGTGAGTGCCGCCCAGCAGTGCCGCCCCAGGTGCAGTGCCAGCCTCCAGCCACAGCAGGTTCCATTTGAGGCTTATGATTCCAAAGAGCCATTTGGCCTTTGTCCTTGAGACCATTTCTTGCCTTTTTCGCCTCTGATTCCCTTTCTAACCAAGCTGCACTGTGCTGTTCCCTCTGTCAGCCTCAGTCACTTCCTTGAATGAACGACATTGCTCCAACTACTGAATCGTGTGGTGGTGTGCGGTGTTGCGTGGTGCTGTGCGGCTGTGTGTTTATATCTGCAGTTTGACACGTACAGGGAGATGAAGAAGAAGACCAAAGGACGCTGGGATAGATGGTAGGTAGTGGTTTTGAGGCGCCTCAAAAAACCAGAATGAAACTACACTGGTCTTTACAGGTTAAATACGGAGCTGCGTTAGTCCCTTCACGCTGCATGCAATTCATTGGTCCTTTCCAACTGCATGCTCCCACAAATCACCCCATCATCTTGTAAACACCCCTGTGCGGTCCTCCCTTGCCTCTCCATGCAGGCACGCACACCCACTTTTTCTTTCCTTCTCCAGCTGTGCCCTGACAATTTCCACGCGCTGCTATTCTCAGCCACACCACTGTGCCTCTTCTCGTCCTCCTCCTAATCGCTCTCGCCCTGTCTCTCTGCGGCATCACTTGTCCCTCTCCCAGGTGCCCCCAGACCAACAGTCTCTGGCTCAAATACCTGGCAGAGATGCTGCAGACGGGCAAGAAGATTGTGAGTTGTGTGCAATCTTGTGATAGCGGGGGGTACAGGGTTCCCAGTCAAGCCATCGTGCCCCCAGACCAACAATCCCTGGCTCAAATACCTGGCAGAGATGCTGCAGACGGGCAAGAAGTTTGTGAGTTGTGTGCAATCGGGCAATGGGGGTTACAGGGTAGTGATGTGCGTTCAGAGTTGCAGGAAGGGCACTGTGGTGGGAAAATGACTGTGGGGTTTTTTCAAATAGCCGTGCTTGTTCTTATTGGTTGCACACCAGTGGAGTGGAGAAAAGTTGGGGAGGGGACACATGACCATGGGTTTGAAGATCCATGTTGCCGATGTACCTTGTCAATCCATTTGCCCCTCATTCATCCCTCTTTTCTGCCTCATAACTCCGTATCCATATCATGTCTTCTGCATTTCGTTTCAGCGTTTCAAGGCTAATGAGAAGAGGGCCATCATCCAGTTCAAGGAGCGCATGGCTGCATGCCATTCTGCGCAAGCTGCGCTTGATGATGAGCTCTTCAACGACCTCTGGCGCTCCTAGAGTTTTGGGGAAGAACCAAAGCATATGTAGTGGTTCGAAGTTTGGAAGATAAATGAATGATCTGAGAAACAAGTATGCACCATAAATTTTAGAGTTTAGAAAGGAAGCTTGTGTTTAGCCTAGTCTTTGGGCTGGTAATTTGTTTGAATAATTTAAGCAGGTACTTAATATTGTATAGAAGGCGGAATGTTCCTTGTACCGACCGAGATGAACCGAAATGTACATGTAACTTATCAACCTCCACTTCAGCTGGCTTGAATCGCGAAATGCTGGGTTGCGACTCGCGAGGTGAACGACAGAAATCAGCGAAAAACACCGCGTGCGACGATGAATGAAGGGCCATTATTGGTTCATGGCAAGTTTGCGAAGGGCCAAACCCATCCGTACATAACAGCTCAACTTCAGCAGTTCGTCCAAGGCACCTGTTTTGTCTGTTTTCGGTTGCGGCTCGGCCTGATTTCGACCAATCCGCGGCTCGCAGAAACCGCATGTCAATTGAAAATCCGCGGCTCGTTCCAACACCCGACAAATTGAATGCTTAAATTCTGCGCTTCATCCCGCCAGTTTCTATCATCTCATCTGCTCTCGTCTGACACACCAGGACAAAACTCTCTGCTTTCGTCTCGCCCCACTCGCACCCGCACTTCCCACGGACACCGCCCGTAACCCCTGCCAGCGTTGCCCGCACAAACAAAATGAAGAAATCAGACTTCAGTTGTCGACTGTGCCTGTTTCTTTTCCTGTTTCTGTGCGTCACCAGGGCGCGAGCTCAGACTGACGGCATCGCCAATAACAGCGATATCAACCAGAATGAAGTCGTTACCAATCCCGGCGAATTCCCTGGCTTCGTTGCTATCCCGAATCTCACCGTCAACCCCGAAGTTGGAGATCCTGCTGTCAATTTCCCTAACGGCGACGCCACTAATACCAGCCCTGGCGACGGTGTCAATGATTCGTTGACGGAACCCTCGCAGGCGTCCCCAAACGAGCCCCAGCCGGCAGACGGTAACGGAGATTCTAACGGGACGCCGAGGTCTGACGGAAACGGAGCTCCTGAAGGAACGTCGACGAACTCCGTCCGTCAGAGGCGCGGCCCCAACAGCAGGTGCCGCGGGTGCCCTCTCTTCCCTTGCCAAGCCGGGTCGCACCGTAACGGCCGATTCGACACGTCGATCGATCCTAGGTACTCCGTCGTTCTCGCCGGAGAGAACTCCTCAAATGACGGCCGCAGCGATGACAGCAACACCATGGAGTGTTGGCGCGAGTGCAAGAACCGCAACCAGAGGCGTGGCCTGGCGCGCGCAGCAAGCCCCGTAGTCTACTGGCAGTACGATCCCTTCACCGATGCCAGCACTGGAGGTACGCGGACGCGGTGACTCTGAGTCGCTAAAAAATGGCCCTTGATTTTTGAGACACATCAAAAGTCGAGCCAAGTACTTATTCGTGCGTTGGTCCCTCGTCGTTTCTTCCTGCTTCTCTCCCCAACAGGACTCTGCAGCTGCTTCGGCGCCGCTGCGTGCAAGGGCCGCCGTTTCGTGCACCTGTCAGAAGACGACAGCAACCTGCCGGCCGTCAACTTTGTCGGCAAAATCTGCCCGGCGAACGGAACCGGCGACCCGCACTTCGTCGGCGCTGACGGGTCGCGGTTCGATTTCAGCGGGCGCCCCGGTGAAAACTACGCCCTGATCTCCGACGTACACGTGGCAGTAAACGCGCACTTTGGGGGGCGGTGGGGCGAATGGGAAGGGCGCAACAAGGCGCTGACGTGGATGCGAAATATCTCAATTCTGTGGGGTCACCACTCGATCGTTTTCGAGGCTCGCGAAGGGTGGGAGTCTGGTTACCGAAACGGTTACCTCCAACGACTGTCGGTTGATTCGGAAGACGTGAAACTTGGCCGGCCCGGCTCGCACCTGGATGTCGTTTCGTTTTTCGACGGGCAGGTTGAGCTGCGATGGGCCTTCAACCCGTGAAGGGGGAGCTGGTGGACGAGTACGACGTTCGCATAGGCGACGTTTTGTCGCTCAGGTTGACGCTGCGACCCGAGATCGCAGCGCTTCGCACGGACGACGACGGGGTGGTGCATTTCACGGTGGACGTGCTGAGCGCCAAGCTGTCGCCCAACGTGCATGGCGTGCTGGGTCAGACGTTCCGCCCTGACTTCATTGGCCGACTGTGAGTCGCGTTAAAGATGCCGCCCATCTGTGTTATGTGCTTCTGCTTTCTCCTCTCCACGCCTTTCACGTCCTCTCTCTGCTTGTCCCTCCTTTCCCCCAGCTCCTTCATCTCTCCTCCCCCTCCCCGAACCCTACTGTCTCTCTTCCGTTATCCCCTACTTACTCTTTCTCCCCATCCTCCGCTATCAACAAGCTACATCTGTTCCTCTTTCCTTTTCCCACTGGATCCTCTCCCCCTAGCTCTCACTCCCTTCACGCCCATCCCCCCTTCTAATATTTTGGTTCCTGACCCTTCTCCTTTGGTTCTTCTGCAGCGAGCGGCAGAAGCTAGTGTGGAGCAACCTTTTCAAGACGCAAGTGGTTCCTGGCGACAACGCGGAGGGGTTTATCGACGGTATTGTAGACGACTACAGGTGTACCGACCTCGCGCACTCCGACTGCGCCTTTTGTCGCTTTGTGCGTGCGGAAACGCTGGACGATGAAACCGCCTCCGCTATAGAGCTGGCTGCTGGCGTTTCATCCTCGTATAGTGACAACAGCCGCACTTACCCATGGAAGGCGCTAGTTGGAGCTTTTTAAACCATGCGAGAAACGCTCACAGTTTGCCTGATCTGTGTAAATAGCCAGTGCAAATTGTGACTGTGCTGTACCCTGGGTGATCTGGCACTCCTGTCTCTCCATCACTTTTCCCTTCCTGCGATTAGCAGCAACACCTGGCTGTTTGGCATGTTTCTGGGCACCAATTCGGTAGGAACATGCAGTACCACCATCAGTTAGCGTCCCTTGCAGTGACATGTGGCTGTGTGGTGTGGTGTGGTGTGCTGGAGCCTGGAGAAGCCTGGGAAAACAAGCAGCAATGTTATGTAGAGGACTTGCAACTTCATGTCGCACATCAAGTTGCTCAGCATCTTGGTGTTTTGTTAGATAAAGGGTAATGCACTTGAAAAGGCAGTTAAAGAAGCTATATGTACATGCTTGGTGTTGAAACACAATCAGATCTCAAGTAATGTACATGTATAGTGAACAGAGGTCGTATTCTCCACATGCGAGCAGTCCCCGTTGTCACTGAAACAGTTGTGATGTGACATGCGACTGTGCCACACCACGAACAGTTGCCATTATCATATCGCACATCTGGATGCTTGAGATTGAGACTGGCCTCTTTGCCCTCATCTCCGCCCAGCATTGAAGCGCACACGCTTCTTGATTTGACACATGCCATTGCAGGCTCATCTGCTGGCTGAGGCACGCTTGTGTCTGCAGCAGTGGAAGGCAGCAGCAGTGGAAGGCAGCAGCAGACGGCACTCCGCGTGCGGATCTTATTCTGGCTTGACATAGAACCATCCCGTGCTGATGTGTCCTCCTGACGTGTCCTCATATCTTGGCATCCCCTGTGCCACTTTTCTGCTGAGGTACCTCAAAGGCCCTGTGCTGCTGAGCACTCCACCATCCTGTGCTCACGCGTCCGTCTGACAGGCGAAGGATCAAACGCACCTCTACTGTTCCTCTCCTGCTCCAATCGACTCTAACAGCGCGCAGCTCCGGTGCATAAGAGGAACTTGAATCGTTAGATGCCTGGCCCCTATAGTTTCCTGGAAAGCTGCAGCTGCGAGTGCTCAAGCTGATGCTTCTTCCACTTGCAGCCACATAGCAAGAGTCTTTTGCGATTCCATGGCTGCTGCTGCCTTCGGTGTTCTGCTTGGAACTGGAGTCATCCGAGTGTCTCCCCACCTGCTGGTATGTCTTTTCGGCGCTGCTGCTGGTGTGACTCCACTCACAAGTCATCTTGCTGCTGCCTTCAGTGTTCTGCTTGGAACTGGAGTCATCCGAGTGGCTCCACACCTGCTGGTATGGGTGGCAGTTGCTCCGTCCCCAATCGTCAACACCAACAGCCCTCCGACCCTTCCGCCTGTCACCGGACAAATCAACACCATGCACAGGCAAGCGAGCAGGAGCCCTTGCAGCAGCATCACGGATTGAGCGCAGAAGATCAGGGGACAGGGAAGATGGTAACCCTGTCTCTCCCCTGCCATGCACCCACCGGTGGACTGCACGGGAGCAGGGGAGCACTGGGTGGAGTGTCGGGGAACCAGCAGCAGAGCAGCTGCGGCTGAGGTTAGGAGAATCCGGAAGAGAGGTCCTCTTGGTGGTGAAGGACGTGGCTTCAGTTCCACTACTGGCTGAGCGTTGGCTGGTCTGCCCTTGAGGGAAAGAGCAAGGCAGGGAGGCCGACGATGGGTACGGCGAATCACCGCCAGCAGAACGACGACTGACCCGCCCAGGAGGGAAGGAGCAAGGCAGGGAGGTGGACGAAGGGTACGGGGAATCACTGCCAGTAGAGCGGTGGCTTCTCCATTCACTTATCCGTTCGGGGGGGAAGGAGCAGGGCGTGCCATGCCGTGTCCCCAGCACCAGCCGCCTCTGCCTCAGCCACAGCACTTCCTCCATGTCTCTAAACGGCTCCTCCTCCTCATCCCCCTCCTCGTCCGAATCAGCCTCGCAGCTTCTGTTCAGCCCAACAACATAATGCTTCGCCCTTGATGACAACAGATTGACCTGCTGGGTTCTGGTGACCTCGACCAACTTGAAGCTGCTGGCTTCCAGGGGATTCGATTTTATGTGAGTCACTTTCAGGGAAAGGGCACTGGCCTCGTGGCCTCTCAAATTACCATTGAGCCTAACCATTCGCTCGGCGGCTGCCGTACGGGTAGATACGCTTGTTGCGCTTGTTCCGTTAGAAGTTGCCCTCTGTTCCAGTGCACTCACACGGCGCTGCTGGACTGCTGAAGAGGTTTTCATCTTCAACGTACCAGTAACACGCAAATGCCGAAATCAATCACCCTGCTTGTGACAAGCACTCTCCGAGACAAGGGTCTTTCTTCCGCAGGGAAGAGTAGCTCCGAGTTGCGTCGTCCACTGTAAGAATCAGTGCTGGAGGGAAAGCAGATGGAGTCTTGGCAGACTTTGCACGCAGCGCAAGGCTCGTTCGGCGAGGATTCTTAAACACAAAGGATGTTCGCTCACAAGCTGTGTGTGCTTCTCAGACTCGGAAGCGACTCCTCCTTTTATACAAAACTACAGCCAGGGGAAAAAACGAAAGAGACCACTGAAGCCGAATGAAAGTGGAGGCCGCGCGGCGCGTCAGCGGCGGCGGAACTGTGCAGCTGCTACTACTGCTGCGTGTTATAGTCACAATAGGCTTGAATGTGCCTAAAACGAAAGATAGAGAGCACAGACGGATTTCTGCACAGCGGCTTCAAACGTTGATAGCGTTCTGCTCACAGCTGCAAATGACTTGATTCAAATTGGATCTGGAGCGTCTTCACGTCGTCTACAATTAGCAATTTAGATTGCACGATTTGATAAAGAATTGACGACACAGCGTCGGTTTGAACGAACGGTACTATGGCAGCCACTATAGTCTTAGAACACAAGATAGGAAGAGTTACGAGTTGGGAATGACTCCCAGCTCCTACAAACCCCAAGAGCCGAGGTACAGTGATGTGGAACAGTGCCACACTGTCCCCAACCACGAAGGGTCTCGAAACTACCCTTCACTAGGGCCTACACCAAGTGAAATGTTACACTACACAAAGTAATGTAACTATCTTCAATATCTTGAGGTGTACCCTTTTGGCGAGCTTCGAAATCACTTGAGGCTTGACTCCAAGGCTCGGGCTCTTCATCACAAACTCATCCTTGAGTTCTTGATGGGTCTGCTGCACACACCTGCGACACGCCGAACGTTCGACACAGGACAAAATAGAAACCGCGCACGACAAAATAGAAACCGCGCGCGAGACACAAACGACCGCGTAACACGCGTCTAGCGATAACTCGCTATTGACTCGACACACACACTCGACATCATGACTCAACATTCACACACAATTATAAGCATGAAATATACATTATCCCATGCCCTCATACCATTCCATACACACACACATTCACGCACACGGACAACAAGCCGAGTGCAAACCGTAGGGTTGCACCAACAAACTCCCCCTCGGATTGTTGGCCTTAGGATATGTTGCTCTCTCAGTTCAGAGCCATCCCAGCCAGCTTGCAACACTTCCAATGCTGCTGCTCCACCAGCCTCTTGGTCATCATGTCAGCCGGCTGCCCCGTGGTCTTCACGTAGCGCAACTCAACTTCACCCGCGGTTACCATGCTCCTCGTCCAATGCCACTTCACCCTCATGTGCTTCGTGAGTCCATGCAACACAGGGTTCTTAGCAAGAGCAATGGCATCCTGGCTGTCACAGTACAGTGGGGTAGGTCCTTGCTGCTCCTCCCCCAATTCAGCCAACAAACGCCGCTGCCACACAATCTCCCGTACGGCACGGAAGAGTGCCATGTACTCGGACTCCACCGAGCTCAAAGCTTGGTCAACCTGCTTCTTGCTCTCCCAAGCAGTTGGGCCTCCACCAACACAGCATATGAAGCCTCCCACACTTGTCATGTCCTCTGGTTCTGATGCATATGAAGCATCCGAGTAGGCGGTGAGGAACAAACGCCCGGGTTCAACACCATCCGCGCCCTTTTGGCGCCTTTGTGCCGCCGTCGAGTATTGCAGCCCAACGGTCGGTGTTTGGCCAAGATACTTGGCCACCCTCATTCCAGCTGCTACCTGCTCCTCATTAGGGCATTGCACAACCCTAGCCAGCTGCCCGGTAGCAAACGCGACGTCCGGTCGGGTGTTTACCGCCGCATACATGAGGCTGCCCACCAACGAGTGAAATCGGCGCCTCTCCTCTTCACCAACGCTCTCCTCCTCTGGTCCCTTCACACACTTGAACCCAGAGGGAAAGGGTGTAGCCACATGGCCTTCACTCTGCCCAAAGTTGGCAGCCAATGCCTCCAGGTACTTTCGTTGATGCACCCGCATGCACCGCTTCTCCACATCTCGTTCGATGTGGAGCCCAAGGTAGAAGCTCACGTCACCAAGGGCCTTGCACTTGAACTTGTCTTGAAGCTTCAGCATCACCTCCTTCACAAGGTCAGAAGAGGGTGAGAAAATGAGGATGTCATCCACATAAACCACCATGAAACTCCTCTGCTCCCCCTCGCCAAGCATGAACAAGGAGTGATCGGCTGTTGAGGGAGTGAAGCCGATCCCCTCCAACACTTCGCGCAGCTTCATGTACCATTGCCTAGGGGCCTGCTTCAGCCCATAGAGGGCCTTCTTCAGCTTCCACACTCTGCCACTACCATCATCAAACCCCTCTGGCTGCGCCATAAAAATCTCCTCCTCAAGGATGCCGTTGAGGAATGCCGTTACGATGTCCATTTGCTTTACTACCCATCCTTTGATGGCGGCTCCCGCGAATAGGGTTCGCAGCGTCGTCGGCTTCACCACAGGGGCAAACAGCTCCTTGAAGTCCACCTTCTCCTTCTGCTGGTACCCCTTGGCTACAAGCCTAGACTTGTAGCGCTCGATCTTGCCGTCGGCATCCGACTTGATTTTGAAGAGCCACTTGGACGTTATCGCCGTACGCCCCTCCGGTAGCTCCACCAATTCAAACGTGTCATTCTCCTCGATGCTCTTCAGCTCACTCTCCATGGCCTTCTTCCACT